TTTAAACCCCTTGGAATGTACCATATCAAACTTCTATATTTAAGACTCTTAGAATGTACCATCTGAGAAAGCAGTTGCATTTAAAAACATTGGAATATACCCCATCAAACAACAGTAGCATATAAACATCTTGAGACATACCATATCAAGGAATACTTGAATTGAGCCTTTTGGAATGTAACATATTAAACAAACATTGCATTTAAAGTTTTAGTATGTACCACACATAAAACCAGTTGCTTTTAAACCCCTTGAAATGTATCACATCGAACAGCAGTTGCATATAAACCCCTTGGAATGTACCGATATAGAACAACAATTGTATTTAAACTATTTGGAATATAACATCTCTGTTAATAGTTGTATTTACACCCATAGGAATCTACCGTATCGAACAACAGTTGTATTGAATCCCCTCGAAATATACCATATCATTCCACAGTTACTTTTAAGTCCTTTGGAATGTACCACATCAAGAATATACCATGAAAATTACATCCGCTACGGGGACCTAGATACATAACTGCCATGTAAAATTCGATCAAACACCGATTATGACTAAATATATACTAAAATAGGCTATCTAAATGCATGGCAATACAACATCAAAATGCATGGCAATACAATATTAAACTACATGGCAATACAATATCAAAATGAATGGCAATACAGAATTAAACTACATGGTAATGCAGAATTACAATGCATGGCAATACAGAATTACAATTCATGGCAATACAGAATTACAATGCATGGCAATACATAATTACAATGCATGGCAATACAGAATTACAATGCATGGCAATACATAATTACAATGCATGGCAATACAGAATTACAATGCATGGCAATACATAATTACAATGCATGGCAATACAGAATTACAATGCATGGCAATACATAGTTACAATGAATGGCAATACAGAATTACAATGCATGGCAATACATAAATACAATGCATGGCAATACAGAATTACAATGCATGGCAATACAATATCAAAATGCATTGCAGTACAATATTAAACTACACGGTAATGCAGTATCAAAATGGATTGCAATACAGAATTACAATTCATGGCAGTACTGTATTAAAATGCACGACAAGTCTCCCATAGCTGCTAACATCTTACACACCAATGCATATATCAATCTTAACAACGCTTTTGTTGTGGGACTTGGTCTCCAGTTATTGTTTGAAGTTTATCATAATTTATCATTTCCTATTCTTCTTTAGCTAACCTATCTAACAATGTATTCAGTTTAGCTGGTAGATGGGTAATAATATGTTATTTAGACTATTTTTTAAAAATAGTACATGTGCTTTGCCTAATTATATTTCATTATGGGAATCTTGCAAAGATGCTCTCTCTCTCTCTCTCTCTCTCTCTCTCTCTCTCTCTCTCTCTCTCTCTCTCTCTCTCTCTCTCTCTCTCTCTCTCTCTCTTCATGACTACTTGAAGGTCAAACTCGATCTGCGTGGATGAGATATAAAATAAAATAGTTAATTTGACATTCAAGAGGCATAAGATTGAAAAAGTTAATTAAAACTGAGTCTAAACGATATCATGAAGGGACGACACTACCTTCAGGAAAATTACTGAAGTTTCAAGGAAGGGACTTTCCAAATTGATGTTTATTTTTCGATAATGAACTCTTTTTGGGGGAACAAAGACCGTTATAAAGACGCTTAATGTAAGTGTCAATCACTTTCGGAGACACATACGTATAATAATTCGGAAGGTCATTTTTATTGTCCTTATTTTGCCAATATACATACGTCAATTTCCTCCAATTGCAAAAGGATTTGAAATACTGAAATATAACCTGCGGTGAATCCAAGGGAAATAACTCTAATAACACTGCGTGAGATGGTAGGAATAGGGCGTGAGCATTTCCGGCCCCATGCATTCCAATAAGAACATCAGTATGAGCAATCAACTGAAGTTGTTGTTTCATAGTCATATTTTCCAAAAGAATATCAATTATTTCATGTCCTGGTAGACTGTCCTTCAGTCGCTGTAAAACTTCCGCTTCGTTTTGTATCTTCCTGAAAATAGTTCCTCCAGTTTTTGCACGTTCAGGATGCGAGTTGTAATCATGGCGCCATATTATTACCACACGTAATCTAGCACAGTTTAATTTCTTTCTCTCATTTATTCCGAAGGCCTGTAGAAAATAATCAGAAAATTCTTCAATTCCTTCCACTGTCTTTAAGTAAGGGAGCCGAAGTGGACTCTCATACCCTATGGGACTCAAGATTAAAGTTTTGAATACGGTTGGTTCAAGTAGATTTTTGGCGTAATAAACCTGTCGATAAAGGGTATGCCACGTTTCATCCATTGCACCGGGTGGTCGATCGTCTAGAAATATAACATCCACTTGTTTGGGGTCAAATTTGAAATGTCTTGACAAAGCAAAAATATTAAACCATTCTGTCAAAGTATGGTATATATTATGCGCCTCGATTCTTTTAATGGCAATTGTGTATTCTAACTTTATTTCTTCCACAGAATCCTTTCTTCGTGTAATGCTGAGCATCCATTCAGTCATCGGTGTTCCTTCAGTCCCAGAAAAAAAGAAGTACGGTTTAAAGTCAAAATTGACACACGGAATTGCAAACAAGTCTGAATAATTCTTATATTCAAAGCGAATATTTTTGAGAAATATAAATTCATGTCCGTATGCAATGAAATTTCCATCACACGTATTGTATTTGTCACTGAACCAGGAACTGATATCAAGTTTTGTCCTTTCTTTCAATTGCGTTTTTTGTGTGGAAACTTGTCTAAATATGGTCATCTCTTTAAGTTCCGCTTCCATTGACGTTACTTGATTAAACATAGTTGTTTCCATTTCCGTTTTGTCCATTTGTCTGAATGTAAAATAAAACCAAGCAAGAAGAATCAAGGTAACTAGAAGACCAATCGTACGCTGGCTAGGCTGCTTCCCTCGCATTTCTGTTATAGCCTTTATCAGCTGTTTAGTACCTTGAGGGTGCAAGATACAGTTTCTATCCTCAAATCTATTACCACATCAACCTGCCTAATATAAAAATTCATATAAAATAATGTACATCACTGAAGTTAAAGAGATTCAGTTTTGGGGAGTTCTAATTAGTAAACACAATATATGCATTAATTTGCCCTGAACAGTCAATGGAAACTAATAGAAAAAGTGTATGCACCCATTCCCCAAAACTAATAGTAAAAATGTATCCACCCCTGCCCCAAAGCTCATAGTAAAAGTGTATGCACCCCTGCCCCTAAAGCTCATAGTAAAAGTGTATGCACCCCTGCCCCTAAAGCTCATAGTAAAAGTGTATGCACCCCTGCCCCTAAAGCCCATAGTAAAAGTGTATGCACCCCTTCCCAAAAGCTCATAATAAATGTGTATGCACCCTTGCCCCAAAACAAATAGCAAAAGTGTATGCACCCCTGCACACAAAGCTCAGAGCAAAACTGTATGCACCCCTGCACCTAAAGCCCATAGTAAAAGTGTATGCACCCATGCACACAAAGCTCATAGTAAAAGTGTATGGACACCTGCACATAAAGTTCATAAAAAAGTGTATCCACCCCTGCCCCAAAGCTCATATTAAAAGTGTATGCACCCTGTAAACAAAGCTCATGGTAAAAGTGTATGCACCCCTGCCCCTAAAGCCCATAGTAAAAGTGTATGCACCCTTGCACACAAAGCTCATAGTAAACGTGTATGGACCCCTGCACACAACGCTCATAGTAAAAGTTTATGCACCCTGCACACAAAGCTCATAGTAAAAGTGTATGCACCCCTGCCCCTAAAGCTCATAGTACAAGTGTATGCACCCTGCACACAAAGCTCATAGTAAAAGTGTATGCACCCCTGCCCCAAAGCTCATAGTAAAAGTGTATGCACCCCTGCCCCTAAAGTTCATAGTAAAAGTGTATGCACCCCTGCACACAAAGTTCGTAGTAAAAGTGTATGCACCCCTGCACACAAAGTTCATAGTAAACCTGTATACACCCCTGCCCCTAAAGCTCATAGTAAAAGTGTATGCACTTCTGCCCCAAAGCTCATAGTAAAAGTGTATGCACCCATGTCCCAAAATTCACACTGTTTAGGTCTGAAGGCCGCCGTGATGCTTATTGTACCCGTTTTGCCCAGATGTGTTAATCCTGAAAAACAATTAGGGTACAAAAAGTGTGATACAGTTTAAAAGAGATGCGATCTAGGCCATTTTTCGAGATATTAAACATGCCTTGAACACAAGTATCTATTGCTTTTGGTGACTAGCTCTGCTTCCTATCCTACAACTGGTATTTCCCTGTCTAGATATTGTGAAGTAGATACGTTAAGTTTACATACTTCACATTTATTTCAAGAAAAACACAAGCCCGAAAAAAGCCTTTATCACATGTATTTCCATATTTTTAATTATTAAACAAAATATAGTCCTATCAAAGGCATAAATAAAGAAATTTGGAATAGGCCAATATGCAAAAATGTCCTCTGCTACTTTAAAGAGTGTGTTCTGTCAACATTTTTTACATATCACGTTCAGACAACATAAGGGTACAAGGGAAATTTTATTGTATCCAACATGAATCATATCAGTACAATTTTATAAAATAACGACTTTGCAGCAAACAGCATTCCATTGTCCATCCTGGGAGTTATACTACGCATGTTCTAAGAATGTTTTAAATTTGTTTAACCTCAGATGCTTCTTGTGGTTTTGTTTTCTCTTAACCATCATGGTGTCAGAACAAATACGAAAATTACTTTGTGATGCTGCTCGGACGCCAAAATAAAAAGGATTTTGAGTCACAAATTTTAATTGAATGTGTGATTCTATAGTATTTGTCACTGAAATAACTTCCATTTTAAAACCAATAGTTTGCAGAAATGTTGTCTAATGTTTTCTAACCTAAGGAAAAACCTACGACAGGCGTATGCAAACAATGTACTTCAAAAGTAATTATAGTCCGACATGAAAAACGTTTTTAACGTTTCGTTAGGCCGTTATGGTGGCCTAGTGGTAAGAGCGTACGCATTTGATGTGGGAGGTCGTGGGTTCGATCCCCGCCCGAGTTGAAACCAAAGGCTTAAAAAAATGATACTAACAACTGTTTCGCTTGGCGCTCAGCATTAAGGGGTTAGTGTTAATATTGCTTGGACTGTGTCAGGATAATGTAACTGGGTGGGACATCATGCTATATGTCTGAGGCATGAGCCCCAGGTAGACATCAATATAACTGCCACACTGCAGACATCGTACAGAAAAAAAAAATGTTAAAGCTACGTTAAAACAACCAAATCACTCACTCAATCGAAACGGATTGAAATTGTTCACCAATCCCAACACGCGTTACAAACTTTGATCACTTTGCGGAGTCTGTCTTCCAATCCAAAGAGAGCTACTGGTGACGTCACATTTCCTATATAGGTGCACTAACGTTTATGCGCAGTTATTTTCTTCGACATTGTTTTATGAAACATGACGGAAACTACGAAGTTAATGAATTGGTGTGCACAGAATGTGGAGACGAAAAGCGATTGCATAGCTGCGGCTACTAAAGTCAACACAGTGCAACTTCCCGAAGAGGTTGATTTCAACTGGGATTTAGTAGATTTTTCTCTCTTCGCAAGAATTTGTTCCGGCACTAGCACCTTTGTGACTATCTCCTTCTCTACCGCACTTCGACGATTTTAGACAGAGGCAGAACAAGCATTTCTCCTTGAACAGCAACAGCGAGGAGAAGTAGAGACAGGAAAGAAACGACAGGAAGAAGAAGCAATAGAGAATAAACAACGGCTAGAAGAGAAGGCGAACAGAAAAAGTCAAACGGTCTCGATAGTCTTGAATATTTTGGAAGAGTTAGGAAGTCTGAAACAAATGCCTTAGACTTCTTTATTACGACCCAAGAGAATAAGACCTTCCCGAGCCAAAGAGCCTAACTATGTGACTACACCAGAGATACCACATCTAGTGATTTCTACGAAATCATTGAGAGGAGAAAGTCCACATGTAGGCCTTGGCCGTGGCAAAGGCTTAAGTCAGTTAAAGCATATTGCTTCTCGTTCCTGAGTTTGTTATCAGGAAAAAAAAAACAAAATCCCCAACAGTCCTTTTCAAGGTCACCCATTTCTTTCGAAAAGAGTTAATATTCATTTCGCTAAAATCAATTAAATTAAAATCCCTTTTTTAACCCTAGTATGTATGTGTATGAGTGAATGACTAGAATCTTATTTTAAATAATAAAAACCATTAGAAACGTTTATCTAGTCTGGTCTATTAAGGTACAAAATATTTACAATCCTATTCACAATGCTTTTTAAAAACGTTCATAGACTTCCCGTTTCTTTTTTTGGTTCCCTTTCTCTGCTTTCTTTAATTTCTTCACTTTCAGTGTTTTCCTCCTCCTCTTCTTTTCTTTTTTCTCTCCTTTTCTTCTTCTCTTTCCGAACGTCTCGGACTTCTTCCTTTGGCGAGGGTACATTCTTCTTCCCCCTTCTCCTCCTGCTTCTTTTGTTTCTTAGGGCACACTGAAGCCCAATGTCCTTTCTCTTGACAATGATAACAATTATCTTTACTTTTGTCTCTTCAGACACTGGACTAGCCTTTATGGTGATATGGACATTCTGTAGTCCTTTGTTATGGCAGATATAGCAAGTATCTGACTTTTATCTCGAAAGGAGGAAAAGTAGTCCGTCTGAGTGTCGTAAGCAAGCTTTCGTATGACAACTCGCAATGATCTAATCATATATATATATATATATATATATATATATATATATATATATATATATATATATATATATATATATATATATATATATATATATGGGACCATGGCTTTTCAAATATAGTCATTTGACGTTTTGCAATCAAAGTGAAACGATCGCATCATTTCATAAAGAAAGGAGAAGAAAGTAAGAAGCAGACACGTGATTTATCACCTCTCAAAGTAGCTGAAGTCTTGGCACAGTTACCTGACAAGGGCTCGTACTCAGTAACAAAGAAAAAAGTGAAAGCCAAAATGCTTTTCATATTTTAACAAAATAATTTATTTCTTAGACAACAATGTAAAAATTTGTAAATAGGACTTACAGGTGATGAATGCAATCCAAATATGAGTATAAAAATAAAAACACAAGTCATATCACTAAATAGTTCTATACGAATCCAGGTTTGAGTCCCGACAACGTACAAATATGGAAGGCGATGACGTCAGATGTAGTCCAATGTGTGAATAATAATAAATCCTCACTTGAATCACATTCTTTGTTTCCGAATAATTCCAGAATTAATTTCCATGAATATCTTTTAGAAGTTTTTTTTATAAGAAAGTCAACTTGTTGACTGTCCAGGAAAAAAACTTATTGAATCCAAAACTTAGACAAAGAATAAAATATTCTGGCAACAAATTTAAAATAAATACATAGATACGTCTTGATTCTTCAAGGTTTTGAATGACTGCCTAAACAAATATTAAGAATGAGTATTTAACCCCGAAAACATCACTTCAAATCTCGCGAGATTGGTCATGTGGTCACTTAGTACGCTAGTTTTGTCATGTCGTCCAGAGAAGACCGACTTAAAACGATAAAAATAAGTTGTTTACAAACATTGATCACGCGGTGACAGTATGCCCGTGATGCTGTTCAATTATTTTAACTGCCTGTTGATTTGTTACCAAGGTAAGACGAACTAAATGCCAACCCTCACGTATTACTATTTCGTTTTAAATAAACAAAGCCCGTGCCAAAACCACATCTCGCCACTAAAAACCGAATCACGAATTCTAGACAAATATTCACTGTAACCAAACACAATGAAACAAAAATGAAACAAAATGAATTTCAAACCTGACACAAAAGCAACCCAATCACATACACGTAACACTTCCCCATAAAGAAAAAAGAAAGATTTATATAACAAAGCTTTCTTTTTCTTACCATCTATAATTTATTCATGCGGTGAAGCATATTACATGATAAAATTCTTATGAATTATATAGTGTATATATATATAAAATTAATATTTCTATACAGAGAAAAGTGTATCTGCAAATTGTCTTTTCCTTTGACGTGCCTGATATTCAAATTATACGCTTGCAAAAGCAAACCCCACCTTAATAATCTTTAGTTTTCATTATTCGTTTTAGCGATGGCGATGAAAGTAAGGGGGTTGTGATCACTATACACAACAACCGGAGAAGGAGCCAAGGTAATGTATACCTCAACAATCTTGCAATGTCAAAATTAAAGTTAAACATTCCTTCTCTATTGTTGAGTAATTTCTTTGGTGTGTTACGTATTGGATCGTTCAAAGAAACAGACAAGAAAGAGTGAAGACAACAAGTTTTGTAAATTTTAACAATAATAATTTATTTTCCTAGAAAACATGAAATAGTGTAAATATGTGGAACAAGACTTACGGTTTACTGAAATGATCCAAATTGTTTGTTCAATATAGAAATACAAGTCCTGTAAAAAGTTATAAACACAGTCTGAAGTGTCTGAAGTTCCATTCCAAAATGTCGGATGATCACGTCAGACGAAAGCTAACAGAAAATTCCAGAATTTACACAGAATTTGTGTTGTTCCATTCAATTTAGAATATTTTCGGGAAAAAGTCTTTGTACAAATCAGTAATGTTGTTCTCCAGGAAAACAATTATTATGAAAAACGAAGTAAAATTAGCTCCTTCAACAAGACATGTTGTTCTACGTAGACATACAAAGAGACGACTACTTCTAGCACAAATATATTTTTTTAATGTAATAGAAGTTGTATAACTGACTTTACGACTCTACGACCGTGTATGACTCGACTACAACTGTCTGTCCGTGACTATGTACGTCTTACAAAAATCTCCATCAGATAAATGAAGCTAATACGTTGTTTGAATTGCACGCGCACGAGGACGTTAGGAAAGACTGACCCAGTATCAGCCAATCGATTCCATAGCTATTTCTGAATGTTTAGTTGTAATGAATTTGTTATCATACACTGCACGTGCTCACATGAGTCACATCTGCGACTCAAGTAAACACTGTTTATCAGAAACATATTGGACTGATATTAATATAATTATATTAATAATTACATTTAATGAAATAATACGATTTATACAAAATTGTTTTCTTAACACACACAATTAAACTACAGGATCGTAACAGGTGCTATTTAATTTCTTGGAGAAATAGCACACTGGGTGATCAATGCCATTACTGTCTTCTTGAATTAATACTGCTCCAACCCTAACATCATTTTCATCTACAGACTATTTAAAAGACTGTTTGAAATTTGGAGCTGTTAAAAACGGAGCACTTCTGAATATTGCTTTTAATCTATCGAAAGCTTCCTGACATTTTTCTATCCAGAGAAACTTATTTTTCTTAATTAACAAATTTGTCAGAGGTTCAGCAATATTGGAATAATTTGAACAAACCTTTCGATAGTATCCGGCCATACAAACAAAAATCGTATTAATTGCTTTTTACTGACAGGCACAGGGAAATAAGAGATAGCCTTCACCTTTGCATCAATGTTTTACTGGACCATGTTCCACAATATCTCCTAAGAAAGTCACACAAGCACGGTAGAACTCACTTTTAGACAAATTGATTGTCAAATTAGCATCAATGAGTCGTTCAAAGAATTTCTGAATCGTGGCTAGATCTCCTTTCAAGGTGTCGTTGCAAACAATGACCTCATCAATAAAAGAGTCATAATTATCTAGACCGGAAGTAATCATATTCATCAAACGTTGAAACGTACATTGAGAACCCTTCGTCCCAAACGGCATTACTTTGTACTGGTAGAGTCCATCTGGAGTCACAAAGGCCAAAATTTCTTTCGCTTTTTCGGTAAGTGGAATTTGCCAAAATCCTTTGAGATGGTCAAATTTGCTGACGTACTTGACATTTCCTATTTTATCAATGCAATCATCGATCCTTGGTAACGGAAATGAATCTGTTTTTGTCACGCTGTTCACCTTCCTAGAATCAGTGCACATACGGAACGTTTTATCCGGTTTAGGAACAAATATGCATGGTGAATTCCAATCACTTTTACTGAGCTCTATGAAATT